GCATCAACACGTTGGTCACATGTTAGTCTTTTATCTACAAGAAATTTTGCATTTGCAAAACTCCTTGCTCAAATCATACGTTTGAGAGCTCAATTTCCGGATTATTCAATAAAGAAAATCCGACTTGATAATGCAGGAGAATTTACATCCCAATCATTTAATGACTATTGCATGTCTATTGGGATTGATGTGGAGCATCCAGTTGCTCATGTGCACACTCAAAATGGTCTTGCTGAGTCTTTAATAAAGCGATTACAATTAATTGCTAGACCATTATTGATGAAATCTAGTTTACCTGCATCTGTTTGGGGACATGCTGTATTGCATGCTGCAAATTTAATTCGGCTAAGGCCCACTGCAAATCATATTTTTTCCCCATTACAATTGGTAACTGGAAAAGAACCAAATATTTCTCACATAAAAATATATGGATGTGCCGTATATGTACCAATTGCTCCACCACATCGTACAAAAATGGGTCCTCAAAGAAGGCTGGGAATTTATGTTGGCTTTGATTCTCCCTCAATTATAAAATATCTTGAGCCAATGACTGGTGATTTATTCACAGCTCGGTTTGCTGACTGTCATTTCGATGAAACAGTATTCCCAGCCTTAGGGGGAGAAAATGAGAAAAAGGACCCATGTACGAAAGAGATTACATGGAATGCAACAGGATTATCTTTTCTTGATGCAAGAACAAATGCATGTGAACAAGAAGTGCAAAAGATAATTCATTTACAAAATGTTGCAAATTAATTGCCTGATGCATTCACGGATTCAAAGAAAGTGACAAAGTCACATATTCCTGCTATGAATGCTCCTGCCAGAATTGAAATTCCTTTAGAGAAAAATGAAAAAACTCTTGCAAATGAGTCTTCAATACGCAAAAAGCGTGGCAGACCAATACGCAAAAAGCGTGGCACACCACTTGGTTCAAAAGATGTAAAACCAAGAAAACTTAAAAGGCAAGAGACAATGTTTGAAACAAAAGACGTTCATTCTTCAAAGAAAGAAAATGAACAAACCGAGCATGTTGATATAAAAAATAATATCAACGAACAATTTGTTTCAAATGAGGATTTAACAACCTCTGAAGATGCGAATAATTCAGATGAAGATAGAAACGTTGATAATTATGA